TGGTTTGGTTCCTTGAATAGCAACATCAATAGATGTTGTAGACTATATAAGTAGTATAATTCTAGCCATAGTTTTCTTGGTTTGGTTCAAGGATTATCAGCAAAGAAATATATTATGCTGTCTGACTATAAGGAGCGCAATTCCAATCATAGTTTTCTTTAAACTCTGTAGGAACTTGTTAGTTTTGGACTCTGGTTTCGGTTATAACCCTTCCCTTATTCCTAACTGAATTTGGGGCTTAAGAGACTGGTCATTAATAGTTTTTCTTTTTCCTTCTCTTTAATAGACTTGTCAGTTATCAAACTTTATGCTAAATGAGCTCCTATCCTTCTCATGGCATTAATTTCAGGTTGGGTAATTTACCATGGCCTAATTTGATTAACTATAGTTCAGTAAAATAGCTATGAACTAATTTTACTCTTGCGTTATTCTTTTAGGGAGGAGGTTCTTTGAAGAATTGGATAGAGATGATGATGGACAAGTAACCTTGGATGATCTTGAAGTTGCTATGAGAAAAAGAAAATTGCCACCGAGATATGCTCGGGAATTCATGCGTCGCTCTAGAAGTCATTTATTTTCAAAATCATTCAATTGGAAGCAGTTTTTGTCTTTGATGGAACAGAAGGAGCCAACTATTCTCCGAGCATACACTTCTCTCTGTTTAAGCAAGTCTGGGACCCTCCAAAAAACTGAAATATTGGCATCACTTAAAAATGCTGGACTTCCTGCAAATGAGGACAATGCTGTTGCCATGATGCGATTTTTGAATGCAGATACTGAAGAATCTATTTCATATGGACACTTCCGCAATTTTATGCTTTTGTTGCCTTCCGATCGCCTACTTCAAGATGATCCTCGGTGAGATTAATATTTCCATTTGAATAATCTATAGGAAGTCTAGTCGAAGCTCAAGGTCTAGTTTTATTAATTATTGGCTTGCCTTCTGTTCAGTCTGCATCGTTTAGAACATAACACTATAGATCGGATCATGGTTACCAAATTTGAATTTGTAGGTCTGGTTTGTGAAATTGATTGTTTACTGCAATACTGCTTTGTGGTTCTTGGTTTGGACACCTTGTTGAAAATGTTATCGTTTCCTATTGATCAATGCATATGTTAGTATAAAGTTTTGGTACCAGGCCTTAAAGGTTATTACAAAAGCTGAATAGTAGTAGCAATTACTACCTTCCTTTTTTTTCCTTTGGCGAACATATAGTTTTTGCTTGCACATGCACTCCTTTTGCACTAAGGTGGCGTTTGGTTCGCTGGAATGTTTCTGAGGGAATTGGAATTTGAAGGAATTTGAATCTGTCAGGAATTGCAATCCAATTCCATATTCTGTTTGGTTGGCAGGAAATTGAATTAGAATCCAATTCATATTCTGTTTGGTTCGCAGACATGTCATATGAATTTGATTTCAGTAATGTAAAATGACAGGATTACCCTTTTTTTTTAATTTTAGTTTGTTTTATAAATTACATGTAGCAATATATTATAAAAAATTTAAAAAATAAATTTTAATTTTATTGATTGATTATTCATTTCAATAAATTATAAAAATCATGCTAATAAACATCATAAGTTAAAATCATCTTAATTAGGGATGGTCATGGGTCGGGTTGGGTCGGGTTTTTGGTCCACCCCACCCGACCCGACCCGAGAATAAGGGAACCTCCATCCGAGACCCGACCTAACCAAAATAAAGTTTACCCGACTCGACCAGAAATAATAAAAAAATTATTTTTATTCAATAAAAACAGTGACTTAATTGAAAAAAAAAATATATAGAGGAGTATTATTGTAATTATTCCTAAATATATAAGGTAAAATTATATATTTTTTGGGTCGGGTCGGTCGGGTATTTTTCACCCTAAACCCGAACCCAACCCGACCCGAATATCACACTTAAAAAAACTGACTCGATCCGACCAAAATAAAGTTTCACCCGACCCGAATATATGAATTAGAAATCCGACCCGACCCGACACGAAATAATAAAAAATTATTTTTATTCAATAAAAACAGTGACTTAATTGAAAAAAATTATATATAGAGTGGTATTATTGTAATTATTCCTAAATATATAAGGTAAAATTATATATATTTTCGGGTCGGGTATTTTTCACCTTAAACCCAAACTCGACCCGACCCGAATATCACACTTAAAAAAACCGACCCGACCAAAATAAAGTTTCACTCGACCCGACCCGACCCGAATATATGAATTAGAAACCCGACCCGAAATAAAAAAAATATTTTTATTCAATATATAAATAAGTTACCAAAATATTGATGATGATAGTATGGTCAAATTTCAATTCCCTCCAATAAGGGAATTGAATTTCATCATAGAATGGATGGAATTCACTTTCCCTTATTTGATGGAAAGTTGAAGCCATGAAGGATTCTAATTCCCTTGGAAAACTTGAACCAAACATGAGAAAGTGGTGGAATTGGATTCTAATTCCTCCTAATTCCAAGGGATTCATGCGAATCAAACGCCACCTAAGTTTCTGGTGACTAACTTCCGATGTTAAATTTCTTTTTATATTACATAAAGGAATATCTGGTTTGAAGCTGCAACTGTTGTTGCTGTTGCACCACCTGTGGAAATACATACTGGAAGTGTTCTTAAATCTGCATTGGCTGGAGGTCTTGCAAGTGCGCTCTCCACATCTTTACTGCACCCAGTTGATACTATAAAGGCATGTTATTCAGCTTAGTGTTGTTGTTACATGATAAGATACAAAATTTTATATATTTCCACTTCATTCCCTGTAACTGATATCAGAGTGTCCAGAATTTTTACATCATTCCGTACCCTTCGTGAACACCTACTGGACTCTGTAACCATCATATCTTTTGCAAAGACATATGCGTTCTGCATGTTAGTGTTTATTTGTCAGTATGGAGTGCGGAAAGCTCATGTGTGGCACTCACTTTCATAACCATTAATGTACTTTCACATATGGTGGAAATAGTTCCCTTGTGATATTTATGATATATTGGTTTCTCTCGTAGATTTTTTTTTTTTTGCAATTTTTGGTGCTTGCTTTTCTTCAAGATAAACCCATTAATGTTGTTGGACAACCATTTTATTTGTTAGATATATTTTTTGGAAGCCATTCATGTACTCCATGATTTGATATTGTTCCCCAATACCTGAGCTTTTCCATTTTCTTTGATAAATATGGTTCAGGCTTCGGCTAAATTGTGCAAGTCATGAAATGTTTACTACTTATAGCACAAATGGTTCTACGAGTCTTCTTGCCATCTGCCTATTGTGTAATGTTGTTTACTTTAATATTTATTGTCAGAGTTCTTTGTCTCCTTCACTTGATAAAGGCATCTTCCTTTTCTAGGTCTAAGTTCCCCTTCAGACTCTTCACATGTCCTTCTTCATGATAAAAATAAATAAAGAAATGCTTCTTTTCAGCGCTTCTACTTTCAACACTCAGAAACACTTGAGCAAAAAGGAGTCAAAAGAGTGTTTATGCTTGAAGATGCATGTCCTCTTGCGGCTTTGTTGCTGAAACGACTCATTTTTCTGTTCTTCTTAGGCTATGCCATTCTATTTTGTGGAATATATCTTGTGACAATCAACCGGCCTTTTACTGATCCTTTTTTTTCCGCTTTTCCCTTTTTTGTTTTATCAGACTCGGGTGCAAGCATCAATCATGACCTTCCCAGAAGTTATTTCAAAGCTTCCACAAATTGGAGTACAGGGGTTATATAGGGGTTCAATCCCTGCAATTCTTGGACAGTTTTCAAGGTTCTATATTTTTGTTGTTGTTTACCTTGTTCTTTTCTTTTGTTTTGTGTCATCTTTCTGATTGGCTTTCTTTCGACATTGCAGCCATGGCCTGCGAACAGGAATATTTGAAGCAAGTAAGCTTGTACTAATCAATGTTGCTCCAAACCTTCCAGAAATCCAGGTAGTTCTTGTTGCACTATTATTCGATTACGAATATGTTCTTTGATATAACTTTGAAAAGTAACATCTAACTTGAAGTTGTGTTTACCTTGGTATGTGAGTGCATCTGAATGTGCTTTTGTGGCTTGGTGTCTCTCTTTATTTGCATGCAGAAGGAACTGGTCTTGCACAGCTAGTTTACAAGTTTCGGAAAGGAATGATTCCTATTAAACATCTGTTATTGATATATGAGATATCGAGTTAAAACTTGTATTTACATGATATGCAGGTTCAGTCCATGGCATCATTCTGCAGCACACTTTTGGGAACAGCAGTGCGGATTCCTTGTGAGGTACTAAACCAACGTTTGCAGGCTGGCCTTTTTGACAACGTTGGAGAAGCTTTTGTCGGCACTTGGAACCAGGATGGTCGCAGAGGTTTTTTCCGTGGAACTGGCGCTACTCTTTGTCGTGAGGTGCCATTCTATGTTGCCGGGATGGGTGTTTATGCTGAATCCAAAAAGGTATTGAATTTTGTCGTGAACTTGAGTACTTTCATTGCACTCAAGTAATTTCTCGGTGTGTATGCGATTTTTTATTCGGTTCTGCATCTTGTTTTAGCTCGCACAACAACTTCTCAAACGGGAACTGGAACCATGGGAAACTATTGCCGTGGGAGGGTTAGCTGCTGTTGTCACTACACCTTTTGATGTCATGAAAACTAGAATGATGACTGCTCCAGGGGGGCGGCCAATATCGATGCCAGTGGTAGCATTTTCTATACTCCGTCACGAGGGACCTCTTGGTCTCTTTAAAGGAGCCCTACCCCGGTTTTTCTGGATTGCTCCCTTAGGGGCCACGAACTTTGCTGGCTACGAGTTGGCAAGGAAGGCCATGGTCAAAAATGAAGAAGCGGCTATGGATCAACTATCACAAAAGAAATTGGCCAAAATCTAAGTATGCCCCAAACCCTTGGAATGAAAAGAACATAGTCTGGAGGTGGTAAAAACAAACTGAATGCTGTTGGAAAATTTTGTGCATCTGAGCATGGTTAGCACTTTCGGTAATTATCTCCAACTAGAAACCACAAGTAAATAGCCATATCACATAACATAAAACAAACCCCGAGTCAAAGTTAAAAGCGGGCCGAGCATCTCCATGATTCTCACCAAGGCATCGAATTTTGGTTTGTATTGAGGAGTGACTGTGTCAACAAATTTGGGGATCTCAACACCTTCGTAGCATATAAAATGTGTAAAGATGAGGATAGAGAACACACTGTAGACAAAAAAAAGAATTATGACTGATGAATACATAACCCCCGAAACACACACAATAATCAATGCAGGTCCAAAAATTGCTATAATCAAGGCAAAGAAACTACACTACTTAACGAGTTATGCATTGTACCCAACCAATGTTCCAAGGACGCTGTGAAATTGAAGCAGCCTGATTACTATGGTTAATTCCTAGGAGGTGATCAGGGGACATCTTACTGTATGAAATTTGAAAGTAATCTGGTTCGGTGATTTGAGTAAACATTTCTCCTTTACCGTAACAAAGGTCAGATTGAACTTCATTTTATATCAAACATCCAAAGTAGAGTAATGAGAGTCTCGAGTACTCTGGATAATCAGAGTACCATAATAGTATTATGAAAATGAAAGATCTAAGCATGTTCCTAAAGCTGTTGCAGCATTTTACAAGAGAATCATATTTAAGAACTTTCTGAGCGAATTCTATAACAACCAATAAATGCATCACCCTTATTTGGCAATCGATTCCTTCTTACGTTATAGATAAACCATGCATAGTTGGAAGTTGTTTAAGAAAGATGATATATATCCACAAACAGAGAATGGCTGTCAAATTCAATTCCAACCTTTCCTGATTTTTCACTCAAACATTGAAAAACGAAGGAGCTTAAGCAAAAGTGAATCCAAAGAACAAATTGAGGAAGATGCAACCATGTGACGAGGCAAGAAACCATTTATGCTTTTAGGAAACTACAGCAGATCAAAGCATAAAGAGTATAGAAAACAAAAACACAAAACATGACAATCATCAAACAATCTTACTTTCATAAGCCTCTTTGTACATATCCACCAAGGGCGAGCCGATTCCTTTTCTATAAAACTCCCAATCAATAGGTTCAGGTTCCTGGTCAACAAAATCAGATAATTACCGAGATCACAGTTGCGAGAAAAAGTAATATGAGCACAGAAGGAACAATCAACCTAATGAAAAATAAGTCTTCACAAACGATTATTCTTAAAAAAAATTTAAAATTACCAAAATCCATCAAAACCCTAAAGATCTAATATAATCTTAACTCAATTAATTTTCAAAAAGGCATAAAAAAGAATCTGAGATGAGAAAGAAGAGGAAACCTAACCTGGCTGAATTTGGTCTGCAAAGTGTAGTTAACTTCATCGAAAGTGCGACGAAGAGTGGCGAACTCTTTGCGAGCCTCATCGGAGACCAAAAGCTTCGCCATCCCTTCCCAATCGATGTTCTTTGATGCTTTGAACGCCACATCGACAACTTTCTTCCCTGATCCGCTCATTTTCTCGCACTCTCACACTTCCCAAACGCGATTCTTTTTCCTCCAACTTCTGGGTGATGACTGATAAGAATGGCTGCTGCTTCTCGGTTGGGAGATGAAGTGATCTTTAAATGAGAAATTTCGATTCTTCGTGATGGACAGAATTGGAATTTTAAAATTTGACCCGACCGGTTCGATCTGCTTATTTTGGGCTTCATTTAAACACCTCTAATCCAACTGCAAACCCTCGTTGAAGTTGTATCCCGCCAACTGCAAAGAAGAAGCAGACTTGATAAGCGCAAGGCAAAAGAAAATCCAAGAACCAATTCATAACAATCATAAAAACTTCAAGTTATTACTTTTAACTAGAAAAGCATTAGTTTTGTGCTTGCTAATCCTAGCTAAGCCTATAGTATATAGGTTACTTGGTACTGTAAGTCCAGTTCTTCAATTTTATGGATTGGAGATAGTAATATGACCTTCCAAATACATGAAAAAACGTAAACATGTTTGACATATACCCAAATCCAACACTCAACCCCAATTCCATGCAACATAGTTTACTTGCAAAAAGAAAGAAGCAAACCGTAATGTATAACCTGAAAACTAGACAGAAATTATTTCCCTCCGTTTACTTCCCACTGAAGATAGTTCAAAGCAGTAGATACTTACAATGGGAATTTGGAATGCCAGTCTCACTTTGAAGTTTGCTCCTGGAATTCAACATATTGGATTCTTTGCTTGACTTTTGTATTGAAGCTCTCATATCATCAAAAAGATCAATCTCGAGACTTAACAAGGAGTAATCACTATCCAATGTAGAGTCTGATTCAGTAGATTTCCAAAACTCTTGTTCGATTCCCGGAAGTATATGTGGTACTGTTTCAGACTTCCTATATCCATTGTTTACCAAACACACCTCTTCTGGATTCAATACCCCTAAGCATTAAAAGAAAAGAGTGGAAAGTAAGTCTTAGATCTGGAAAATTATATGGTAAGACAAATATGCTATAACAAGGAACCCGAGCTTAGCAAATTGGTTCATGAAGTCACACTTTCAAAGCAGCTTGAATCCAGATTTCTGTGACTCCTTCCTTTCGAGGCTAAGCTGCTAAGGACTCATTTATACCTGGACCCTGGTGTAAATAAGTATACCTGCACTGGTGAAAAAGGCTGCATCCCAAGCTAAACTTCTCCGGGCAATGCAATCACCGATCCTACTCGCTGCCACAGATTCCGAAGGTAAACCACTTGGTTCCTTGAGTCCCTTATCTCCAGCATTAATGTTCAAAGTCTCAAACAACTCTTCAGGATCCAAAACTCCTAAGAACATGAACAAAATTTCGCAACAATAACGACAATGAAAGCGAAAAAGGCCTTCACAATGATGTTGAAATCACTCTGGAATTTTGTCAGTCATTCTGAAAGCTTAAAACCAACCTGGACTTCTGAAAAAGGCACTGTCCCAGGCCAAATTCTTGCGAATATCATACTTGGACTCGAATCCGTCAGTCTTTTTTTCTTCTTCCTTTTGTTTTAGTTCTTCTTTTGAAGCCTCAATCAGCCTGAATTCATCAATATCAATCTTTTTTCTATCGCTTGAATCCTCTTCTAAATCAATAATATTCCATCAAGAAATTGATTTAGTCAGTGAATGTACAGTAAGAAAGGAAAAGAACAATCCGATATTCAAATTAAATCTTAATAGCATTCCCAATTTTAATGGCTTAAAGTAAAATTTTCATAATAACTAGATCAAATTCAATCCTGATGCATTTTCTCTGTAGTGGAATTCGACTAAAACTTGAAGATCATCATTATATACTTTCCTTAAAATACGATAGCCTACCAAACATAAAGATTTTTTTTCTTCACAGAAAAATAGTAAAATCCAAACCTTTCAAAGCCAATAAAGAAACAGAGAATCGAAGAAAGCATGTTTAACTTTCCAGTGTTTTTTTCTCAACATCCAGACAAAGAAAATAATAAAAACTCAGAATGAATAACGTACCAGGGAATTGAAATCCATAGAAAATCTCTCTTTTGGATGACATTTTATTCTTCAAGATTACTCTATTATCTTTTCCTTTGCATTGGATTTGGAGTTGGAAGTCATATAAAGAAACTAACCGAGAAAAAGAACAGAGAGAAAGGGAGGGAAAGTGAAGAACTTTAAAATATATTTATAGAAAACGAAGATTTTGACAATTAATTTGTAATTATTATTAATTAATTTGATTAGTGTTTTGTGCATGAATTTAGATGGGAACAGTCTAATTTGTTGTCTTAAAATGGAAATATCATAAAGTCGTTTTTTATATTCAAACGCCGATGAGACATCTATAATAACTTGCTAAAGAAAAATACTCTAAAATAATAAAATTATTTATTTTTTTTAAAATGTAATTAATTTTTTCGTATGTGGAAGAAAACATTTTATGTAAAAGCTATTTTTAAAAAAAAAAAGTTCATTTAATAATAATTATAGATTGTGTGTTAAAGTTCTTAGATGTAAATTAAATTGAACATAATTTGAATTCTTAAATGAGTACTTTATTTTATTTAAAAATCATATAAAAATAAAATTATTAACACAATAACATCAATTATTATCTAAAAATGATCATTTGATAATTAAAATTATAAATATTTTATAAGAATATATATAAACAATACCAACCTTTTCTTTTCATGTATGAAGGCTAAACTTTAGTTGTTTTAATTCTTACTTTCTCTGATTTTAAATATGTAAATTTGTTCAAATCTTCATTCTTTATTTTTTTAAAACTTGAAAACTTTTCCCTTATCAAAGGGTTGTCTTATTTATTTAAACAATATTTTTAAGGCTTAATATCAAAATAAGTGTCCAAACTATACTTTTTTCCCGAATAGGTGTCTAAACTAATTAACGTTACAAACGTTACCCATTTAGTTGCTTGGGCCGGTAAAGGTGTTAATTTCCCCCATTAAATGACACGTGTCACAACCTGATAATTTTAAAATTTTATTTAAAATTAAAAAATTAAAATTATATATTTTTAACAAACAAAAAACCAAATTTTGAAATAAACCCAAAACTTTGAAAACCTTCATTTCAACCCCTAAACTCACGTCGAATGCTGCCTCTTGCCGTCAACGAAGCTCCACCCGACCTCCCCTCCCCCGCCAACCAAAACTCCCATGAAATCGTGATCGATTGACGGCCTATCGACTACAAATCAACGTTTAAAACCACCCGAATCCTAGGATTAAAATCACGATTCTACACGATTCTAACGGTCAATTGACAAAAAAAACGACGGTGTATAAGTAGGAGAATGGCAGGAACTACGTCGGTGGCGATGGTAATGGCCAAAAAGGGCGACAACGACAAATTAAGATTAGGATTTTGGATTTTAGGACTATTTTATAATATAAGAAAAGTTAATGTTTTCTTATAAATATCATAATATTTTTAATATTTTATTTTAAAAAATAAATTTCAAAATCACTAAATTGTAACACGTGTCGCTTAACGAAAAAAATTAACTTCACTGACAGGCCGAGCACCTAAACTGGTGTAACGTTAGACACATGAATGAGACGAAAATTAGTTTAAACACTTATTTGGTAAAAACGGTATGAATTGAGCACTTGTTTTGATATTAAGCATTTTTTTAATCAAAATGTTAACAAAAACATGTGTAAACCTCTTAAAACAATGGGGCCATTTAGAAGGATTTTATATTGGATTAAGCATTGGCACAACTAGCTCTCTATTAGATTTCTATTCAAGCCAAAGCCTTGCAGTCCCCCATACATCATGTTTTAGCATTCAAAATTAGGTAAATACACCATTATGCCACCCGTACTGATCATAGCAGTATTTTCCCATGCCGACTGAAATGCACGAGAAAGGGAAGGATGAAGCTGATGCTGCGGCGAAGTCGCATAATGGCTGAAAGTCAAAAACTCATCATCCGTCGCGCAGCCATATGATTCTACAATGCAATTCTCCTAGTCTTCAAGGACAGCATTCCATGGATACGTCAAATCATCTAAAAATGCTATTACATTCCACTAGTCGGAGCATGCGTGTAACGCTACACGCATGCAGCTTATAGCATAATTCAAGAAAAAACAAATCCAAGCTGAAGGGCCATCGGTTGCCTTCTTCAGTCACAAGTTGAATCAAACGCCTACCAGAGCCACACGCTGACACCTGAACCTCAGGGTATGTTCTCCCCTATATCGATTGCAAGAAATAATCAAGAATAAGATTTTACAGCTTAACAAAACAGAAGAATTTGAATTATAAAACGTCAGTCATTATGCATGATTGGTAGTTCATTTATCCAACTTCAAACCACCAGAAACTGAATAAATTATATTTTTGTACAATCCCATGATGCATCAATCCTTCAGCTTTATGCACCTTAAAAATGAGATGGTTTCAAGAAGCACTAATATAAACAATCAACTCCGACCTCACGATTAATCTATTCAAAAGAGAATAATTAAAACATTTATCCCCAACCCAACTAGCCTGGAGATCTAAACTTTGGTATCCAAAAATGTAAAATAACCTTAGGCTCTTTCAAGGAATCTGTTGGTCCGGGGCCTCCGACCTTTATGGAGTTAAAAGCTATTCTAAAGGGGTTGTTGTTCTATGCTTCTTTCGAGAGCGGATCAAGGACCGTTTGATTATTGAAAGTGACAGCAAGGTGGCAGTGGATTGGGTTAAGGAAGTTGAATTACGTCCAGATGTTTATGCTTTTATTATTAAAGACATTGTTCATAGGCTTAAAGTATTGGAAGGTGTTGTTAGATGGGTAAATAGGATAACCAATTTAGAGGCTGGTGCCTTAGCTAAAGAAGGAATAGGCTGAATTAGTGTTGTTGTTTATGGTTGTTTAGGATTATTTTCTGTTTCCCTGTTTCTGTTTGGGGTGTTTTCTAGGTTGTATATTATGTAATTTCTTATGTTGAATAAATTCCTAAGGCACTCTTTTCCTCCTTCCGCTGATTAAGGAGCTTCGCTACAAGCTCCATTAATCAAGAAGGGGGTTTTTAATGAGGCCTGAAATTCTTATAAAAAAAATGTAAAATAACAGCTGCTCCTATTCCTGCCATTTGAACTTAGTAGTGGCATACATAGTAATACAGATTTAGTTGTTTCACATCTTAAACCTATTATCTGCCCGTAAATACCAAAAATAGTAACCATACTTGTCCACTAAATGAGTTTAAGTGTAGGAGGTGAAAAGAAATTCACTGAATCTGCACTCTCATTGTCTCCATAATGGTTTGTACAAAGCCAGATTAGAGCTGTCATTATTCTAACATCATCAAGTTAAACGCTTTCATACAGATAAGAGAAGTAATACCTGAAATTTCCAAGTAAATTTTGCAGTGGAGATACTAAGTTGAATGTTCCTTGCTTCCAGCCACTTCAGGGGGAGACGACTCCATTTCAGTATTTGTAGAAACAGTTGATGTTTCCTCACCATTAGTTGTGAGAACAGTTGAAGCTTCCTCACCCAAGGTTGTCGGGATAGTCGAAGTTCCCTCGGCCAAGGTTGTCGGCATATTTGCAGATTCTTCACCAAAGGTTGTGGGACGGGTTGGAGTTTCATCACCCAAGTTTGTGGTAGTTGGAGTTTCTTCAACCAAAGTCGTCAAAATAGACGGAGTTTCTTCATGCAAGGCTGCAGGAAGCGTTGCAGCATCCTTATCCAAGGTTGCAGGAATGATTGTGGTTTCCTCAATCATCGTAGGAGTGGTCTGAGTTTCCTGACCCAAGGTTATGGGACTGGTAGGAGTTTCTTCATTGAAGGTTGGAAGCAGAGTAGGAGTTTCTTCCCTGGAAGTTGGAGGAATTGTAGGACTTTCTCCACTTGAGGTTGGAGGAATGGACCGGGTTTCTTCACTGAAAGTTTCAGGATTAGCTGGTGTCTCTTCGCCTAAGGTTCTAGGAATACTAGGGGGTTTTTCTGCCAAGGGAATGGTTGGAGTTTCTTCACTCAGGGTTCTGGGAATACTGGGGGTTTCTTCTGCCAAGGGAATGGCAGGAGTTTCTTCATCCAAGGTTCTGGGAATGCTAGGGTAGTCTTCTGCCAGGGAAATGACTGGTGTTTCTTCCGTTCTTGAAATACTAGGGGTTTCTTCGACCAGTGGAATAGTTGGCGTTTCTTCAACCAAGGTTCTGGGAATACTAGTGGTTTCATCCGCCAAGGGAATAGCTGGAGTTTCTTCACCTAAGGTTGTGGGAGTACTAGGGGTTTCTTCTGCCACAGGGATGGCTGGAGTTTCTTCACCCAAGGTTCTGGGAACACTAGGGGTTTCTTCGACCAAGGGAATAGCTGGAGTTTCTTCACCTGAGGTTCTGGGAATACTAGGATTTTCTGCTGCTAAGGTCACAGGATTGGCAGGAGTTTCTTCACCAAAAGCTGTGGGAATGCTTGAAGTTTCTTGACCTTCAGTAACGAAGTCTGAATTTTCCTCACCCAAGCTTACATTAACCATTGAAGTTTCTTGACCTTCGGTACCGAATCCTGAATTTTCCTCAACCAAGCTTACATTAACCGTTGAAGTTTCCTCTCCCAAGTTTGTGGTGATGGTTGAAGTTTCTTTGCTCAAAGTTGTGGAGAAGGGATAAGCTTCCTCAAATGTTGAAACCGTTGAGGTCTGCTCACTAACAGTTGTGACCGCTGTTGAAAATTGCTCACCTACAGTTGTAGCAACCATCAAAGTTTGGTCACCAATAGTTGTTGCAATATCCATTGTTCCCTCAACATCGGTTGTAGCAATTGGCAATGTTTCCTCATACATGCTCGTGGGGATGGGTAATGTTTCCTCATACATGCTTGTAGCAATGGGTGAAGTCTCCTCATACATGCTTGTGTCGACGTCTGACGTTTGATTGCCTAAGGTAGTCGGAATGGCCATACTGCCCTCACCAAAGGTTGACTGAAGTTCCTCATGGAAAGTTGTAGCAATAGGTAAAGTTTCCTCACCGAGGGTTGAAACCATAAATGAAGCTTCCTCGCCTATGCTTGGAGGAAAGTGTGAACCTCCATCGCCCAGGGTTGAGGCAACAAGAGCATGATCCCCACATAGAGATGAAGACATGAGTGGATTCTCCTCAGCTAGGGTTGGAGCATACAATGAAGCTTTGAATGATTCAGATACAGTGTAGTTGAGTTGATAATTTACAGCCACATGCCCAAAGATGTTGAACTTTCCAGCACTATTGTAGGCAACTTCAGCATCAGACGATCTTCTAAAAACAACTCTTGCACGGCTGGTTTCGCGATCAACTTCTGTTTCAGATTCCTTTAACGGTCCGAAGTGCTTGAACATCTTATTTAGCTTTGTCTCCGAAGGGACAGAGTTAACATCAGTGAAATTCATGACAAGTTCTGCGGGAGCCCTCTCATCAACATAGCCCGGGGGTTTCTGAGTGGTCAAATTGTTATTACCAACGGAATACCTTTTTCGAGTATTACGGCCTTTTTGAAGTGGCTTCTCTAATTGAATAGGCACTATTTGAAATCGTCCCCTTCCATTTCCATGTAACGGTTGCTCTTCAGAACCATTTTGAACTACTCTGTCAGTCCAGTAAGTATCATTCATGTCCTCAAACTCAAAAGTTTCTGGAGAACCAAAAATAGAAATGGGGGACATTTTCCTTTTGTCACCTACTTTGTCCCCAGGAGGTTGATCCACAACAATTGAATCTCTGAAGTTAGAGAAGAAGTTGGCCATTAAACTAAAAGAACTTCGCCTTGGATCGCATGCTGCCTCGCGAAGTTGTGATGACAACTCCTCTAGTGATGAGTGATTTGACATAAAACTCGTCATCTTTTGCAGTGCATCATTGAAATTCTCGATGGGAACATCAATTCCATCTGTAGAGGGATTTTCACTGCCTCCATCAATCTTCAGTAACATATCACCACTGGACTTCAGAATCGATGGAGATCCCGTCATTTGACTTGCAGCTCTGCGGATGCATTCACCAATCTTAAAGGAAGGGTTTGGGAAATGAGGTGGAGTTTGAGACACTTTGGCAAGAGAAACTGTCTTCCTCTCGTCTTGCATCGAGTCCCCAAAGGAATCAACAGCTTTTCTTTTCTTTCCAAATGATGATGAAGGAAGCTTATTAGCCATCCCGTCAGGCCCATTTTCAGCATCAGGAGAATCAAATGTCTCACCCATTAATTCAGTCAAGCTTCTTTCCTTTTTACTAGGATACAACCCATCCTTCAGATTATGCTTACGCTTAAGGTAATAGCTTCTCTTAGTTTTTGAGGTTTCCTGGCCACTGGAAATTTGCTCACCATCGGTATCCAAAGGAGTACTATGCTCAATTACCTCACCGAAATGCATTTTCTTTTCAGAATGTGAGGTATTTGTTTCATTTTCACTTAAATCTCCACAGAATTGGAATTCAGGCAGCTGATGATAACCTTTTAAACGATAGAAAGCTAACAATTGCGCTTTAGCAATCACAAGGTCAAGTCGATCACCCCCAGCAGCTGGAGAGACTGCTAATGCTTTCATATAGTTAACTAATTTATCAGGTTCGAAAGAACTAGCACTCAAAGACTTATCAACATTTCTTATACTTGATTCTTGCCGAACACCTGCATTCTCAACCTTTTGGAATTTTATTCTATCAAAAGCATCCTGAGGTATGCAAGAGCAAGCTAATCCTAACTCTGTCCGTCTAGACACTTCTTCCAAAGAACAATCGACTGCATTCTGGAATGCTTCTAAATTACTCTGCTTGTCAATCTGAGAGAAATGTGGTCGAAATGGCTTCAAAACAGAAGCTTCATTCCAAGCAAATGTCCGATCCCCGAAGTAGGCAACCAGATAGGTATCCTTTTTATGATGCTTAACCGCCTTCTCAGAAGCATCTGAAGGATCAAAGATCTGTCCTGGCCACCATGGATGGCTCCTCACCTTTCCCCAGACTAAATCAGAAACAGACAATTCGCCTTCCTCTGACGGCAGCGGGTACCTAGCTTGATGCACCTTTATTGCACTCGCAGACCTCAGAGCCATTCGTGTAACAGTATTTTCATCGAAATTGATTGGCTGTTCAGGATCAGAATCGTGTTCTTCAACTTCCATTTCTTGCAATTGGTCTAAACCATCATGTTCGTCACCAGAAACTTGTTCTTCAACATTCATATCTTGTGCTACCCTGGAATCATCCTTAGAAGCTGCATTCTCAGCTAGCAGATCTTCATTTCCCAAAGAATATGAGGAATGTACTTGGCTCGAAATATTGTTATCAGATTTTGAGGCTTCATGGTTTTCAGAGACAACACCCACTGTCTCAATTTCAACAGACTTTTCTTCCACTTTAACATCTTTATCAGCATCAAAACCATCATTTTTTGAATCAGGAACCTGCTTTTCAACATCCATTGCAGCCCCAAGACTTGAATCAACTTTTTCTGCTCCATCAATTACTGTTGCAGACTTTATGCTTCGGTCATTTCCTGAGCAAGATAAAACTTCTCCAAATCAACATTGTTGTAACCATATATATGTGCATGTGTTAGGTTACACAGTATAAAACTTCAAAGTTTTACACTTTTTGTGGATCCTTTTTTTTATAAGAATTTCAGGCCTCGTTAAAAACCCCCTTCTTGATTAATGGAGCTTGTAGGGAAGCTCCTTAATCAGCGGAAGGAGAAAAAGAGTGCCTTAGGATTTTATTGAACAATAAAATTACATAAGATACAACCAACAAAACACCCTCAACAGAAACAAATAAGCTCTAAACACCCAAACTAAAGAACACAAAATCAGCCAATTCCTTCTTTAGCTAAGGCATCAGCCTCTAAATTGGTTGTCCTATTTACCCATCTAACAACACCTTCTAATACACCTTCTAATACTTTTTGTGGATCCTTGGATTAATGAATTTAATGGGTGAGTTAAAACTTTTAAATTAAGGATAATCCACTTCTCCTCCTTTCCCGTCAAAATCTTCTCATTTCCTACTGTTAATCTCAACCATCTGTTTTCACTTATCCAACGATCCAAAAAGAGTAAAGGTCAAAAAAGAGGAGAGAGAAAGTGGAAAAGGTCAGTCTTCCTCCGGCGAGAGTTGGACTGTTTTCGTTGACAATCTTAGCAAGAGAGTTAAGGAATCTTTTTCTTAACCAGTGTCATGTGGTGCGAGTCTTCATACCAAATGTGATGAACAAACCAAAGTATCAATCTTCCATGTTCGCCTTTATTCAGTTTAGTAATGAGACAGGAATGAGGAAGGCAGTTAAAAACATGAATGGGTTGTGGATAGATGGGAGGAAAGTTTTTGTTGGAGTCGCAAAATATCAGAAAAATAGTCCAAGGGCTTCTAGTACATCTCGGTCATTAACTGTTGCTCAAGGAAAGGTCACAGAAGGGAAATTTAAGCCATGTGATGATGTCGAGATTCCGAGAAGTATAAGAGACGATAGATCATACAAAGATGTCTTGTTGCCGAGTAGCACGCAGAAGTGTCATTTGGAGCAAATGGGAATTAGAGATGATAGTTTTGACAGGGAGAGGGGGAAAAAGAATATTTGGGAAATGCATATTCCCACTCAAAGTTCAAACTGGGTGAAAAGATCTCTCACGGGTATTGTTAAACTTAATTTCGATATGGAATTGGTCCAAAGAGCATTGGCAAATGAAGGTTTTGAAGTTCAGATTGCAAGCTAGGGGTATATGTGGAATGCTTGTGTTGTTACTTTCAAATCTGAGGAATTGATGAAGGAGGCAAGGGCGAGTAAAAGTGAGGAGTTATGGTTCTGGTCCGACCGGCTGGCACTATAGGTTATGCGATAGATAAGGATAATTAATTAGTGTTGCAATATGGAGGCAGATAGGTTAGCTAAGCAGGGAATCGGATGAGTGTTGAAGGCTTAGTGTTGTTCGTTACGATAGTGTTGGTGTGGGGTTAGGCTGATGGGTGTTTTTTTCCCATCGCTTTTTGTATTATGGTCATGGTGTATTTTCGAGGGTTAGAGTGTTATGTTTATCCTGTGTTTCTCAGGATCAGGATGTTTTGTGTATCTTATGTAATTCTGGTTTTTCAATAAAATGAGGTGCTCTTTTCCTCCCTCAATCAGTTTACATCAAATGTAAACTATGAGGGAGGTTCCTAAGGAGTCCTACTATTCCTATCAAAAAAAAAATATAACACTAACTCTTAGAAAGTTAGATAAAGATAACTACTAAGTAGTTTAGTTTAAATTAACTCTTAGAAAGTTAGATAAGGATAACTACTACGTAGTTTAGTTTAAATTAAATACTTGTTCTCACCTACTATATATACATATTAAACTTGTAATCTATTGTTACTTGAATATACTACAGTGAAGTTTTTCACTTTTTCTTACCTTTGTCATTTAATTTATTTATTTTTTTTATAGAAAATTAGGCCTCATTAAAAACCCCGTTTTTCACCCTCCATGTTGTGCAAGTAACATGAAGGACGAAAAAGGGGAAAAGAGTGCCTAAAATATATTAGATGAAACAAATAGAACAACAAAAACAGACCAAAGCGTCTGCAAACACAACCCAAAAATACATAAAACTTAAACACAACAGCTAAGCATAAGAAATAAAACTCCTACACCTCAACCCAAACAGACATACGCCATAACATCACCCTATCCCATCTTTAGCTAGTTTGTCAGCTTCCCAATTTGCAGCCCTCAAAATATGCTTGAAAATGATATCCTTCCCTGACAAAAGGGAGACAATATCCTTCACCAATACTTGAAACATAGGAGTGCATAACCCCGGATTCAAGATCCACTTCAGAGCAGTGCTTGAATCTGATTCAAGAATAGTCCTTTGAAAAATAATAGAGTTTAAATCATCCAGAAGACATAACCCTCTCTTAATCGCCAATAATTCAGCCAAGATAGGAGGACCACCCCCAATACTCTCAGAAAACCAATGAAGCAACGCCCCTTTGCTGTCCCGGATCAGACCACTAATACCTCCCTTATCCCAGCCCTTAGCCATCGCTCCATCAACATTAAGCTTTAAAAAACCATCCGGAGGAGGAACCCAGCAAATTGATTTAGGAATACCATTTCCTTGTCTACCCACTAAATCAGCAAGTTTTAAATCGCCCACAAGTGAATCTAAAGGGATATTCACATCCTTGTGCTTAGCAACAAACCAGGAAGCTATTCTAAAACGAACAATAAAGAACAGTCTCACCACATCTATCTTTGCTTTATGAAAAACTACCTCGTTTCTACATTTCCACACTGACCACATCAACGCCCTTGGAATAAATTTCCATATCAAAGACTTCGGAAGTAAATCATCCCACAAATTAAAAAAGCCGATGATATTTCTAGGGATCACGAAAGATAAATTCCAACAATTCAAGAATCTAGACCACAAACTCCAGGCGACCTCACAATGCAAGAATAGATGCGAAACTGATTCCATTTCTTGACCACACAATGAACATAAAGAATCGATTATCCCTGCCACACCACGCTTCAGTAACTCCACCTTAACCGCCACTCGCTAATGAGCAACTTGCCAAATAAATGACTCCACCCGAGAAGGAGCTATCCCAACCCAAATATGCCTCTCCCATATCTCCTCCTGCTGAGTACCATCTTGATCGAGGAAAAAGTTCATGCAAGATTTAACTGACAAACAGCCTTTTCCATTCCCTGACCAAATCCAACAATCATCTACACATGGCGTAATAGGAAAATTGTTCAATAAGGACAGCAACTGTAGCAGCTGTTCAACCTCCCAATCCGCCAAATTCCTCCTCATTTGAATGTCCCACACCCAGCCTGCGCTATTATTGACCCTAAACTCCATTACTTTCCCCAACTTGTTGCTCGAGAGAACATAGAGTCTAGGAAACCTTATTTTCAAAGGTACATCACCCAGCCAAACATCATTCTAGAACTGCACAAAGTTCCCCTTCCCTGTCTTCAGACGCATATTCTTCCTAATACAATCCCCAAATACATCGGCTGTAAAGAAATTCTTCACCACACCTCTCCAAATCCAAATCCATCAGTTGTAAACGTCATTTAATTTATTTCATCACCCAATTCCTTTTTACTTCACTTTACATTAGCCCTATTTTCAACATGGTATCAGCTAAGTAACCGATCCTTCACCTAAATCTAGTCGATTTTTTTTCTTTTTACCCTAAATCTAGTCGTCGATCATGAATTCCACCAATTCTTCATCGGAGGTTACTTCGGAATTCCTCATTAATTCACCCCATTCTGATGTTTCTTCAGCCTCTATCACCTGTCATCGATTGAATGGTGACAATTATATCCCTCACTCTCAAACTACTACTCGGCCAAAGAAGGGGAGACCTTAGTGTGACTCTTGTAAGAAGGTTGGACATCTGCGGGATTCCTGTTGGAAATTACATGGCAAGCCTACTGATGGGAAGTCTTCAAAACAGCATCAACAACGTGATACTCAAGAAAATTGTGTTGTGAATACTGATTTACAAGGAAGTTTGTTTACTAAAAAACAAATGGAAGAGTTGCAGCATTTTTTTAGTCAGTTAAACACTCATTCCCAATCAGTACCTGCAGGTAAAATTCTTTCTGCTACTTTGGCTAATACATCCACCACTCCTACTTGGGTTGTGGATTCTGGTGCAAGTGATCATATGACAGGTGATCTTCGGCTCTTTAACACTTTTCATGCCGACTCGTCTATCTCTCATATTCGAACAGCTGATGGTTCTCTATCCGATGTTGCCGGTCATGGGTCTATTCGAATAAATCAGGACATTTTGTTATCTCATGTTCTTTATGTTCCCAATCTCACTTGCAATCTTATCTCCATTAGCAAGTTGTCTGCCAATTTATGCTGTATCACGAAATTTAACTCTGATTTTTGTGAATTTCAGGATTCTAGCTCGGGGAAAGTGATTGGCAGTACTAGGCTTTGTGGGGATCTTTACCTACTTCCAGCAACTTTATTTTCCCACCCATCTACTTCCTACCATGTTATATAACAATTTCCTTTACTTGAACCTTCAACCGATGTTATGTTATTGTATTTTCGTTTAGGCCATCCCAGATTCTTTTATCTTGCAAAATTATTTCCACATTTGTTTGTCAATAAGAGTCCAAAATCTTTTTCTTGTGATATTTGTCCACTTGCTAAACAAACTATGAGTGTTTATCTACCTTCTCCATATAAACCGTCCAAACCATTTACCATGATCCATAGTGATATTTGGGGACCATCTCGGGTCGCATCTTTACATGGGTTTCGGTGGTTTATTTCATTTATTGATGACCACACTCGTACTACCTGGACCTTTCTCATGAAAACCAAATCTGAAGCTTGTGAAATATTTAAATGATTCCATAAGATGGTTGAAACCCAATTTCAGTGTTCAATCCAAATGTTTCATTCTGACAATGGTAGTGAGTATTTTGCCAATGTTTTGGGTTATTTCTTTCAGGAAACCGAGATTATTCAT